TACTTTTATAAGCCACTATATTTTCGAAATCATGTTTTTAGAAATTTTCTGTGAAAAATATTTTGCATTACGTATAGAAAATTCGCTGTACATTAACATCAACCAATCTTGCACAGTTTTATCTGACTTCTTTTTTGTTAGTTTTATTCAATCTCATTCGATTTGCTCATGTATGTTACTCTTACTGTTTTCAAGTTTTTAAACCAAAATAAGAAAATATATAGTGAAATATAATTCTCTTTCTCGCAGACAAATGAAATTTTAACTATAGACGCAAAATCATAAATTCATTGAAACTGCACGTGCGTATAATCCAAGCTTCAACCTGTGTCAAAGGAACTTCTCCCAGAATTACCCAAACAACCGCTTTGCTACATAGTCCAATTCTCATCGAGACAGTTCAACACGTCGAAAGGACACTTGCCAAACAGCTTGGTACTGGAAACTCAAACGAGACCGCAGACAAGCCTGCGAATTCGGACACCTCGATACGATCGAGCCCTTCCTTCCACTCAACGTGTTGGTCCTGACGAATCCGTCGAACAGAGTCTTCAAACACATGTCAAAAAAAAAAAAAAAAAATAAAACCTGGACAAATACGGACTGTTTATTTTGAAAGTGATGTCAACATTTTGAGCAAATTGGGAAAACGAAAATGTGAATTTTTCATTTATATTTGTTTGTTTCGACCGATTGAAACTTCGTTGCTAAATGGAATTACATAATCGATGCAAACGCAAACATTTCAGCATCTCGAAACAAAAGAGAATGGATTTACATCACTTTTAGAATAAATGGTCCGTTAGAATACTGTACTATATCTCAGAATATACGATATATTTTAAACGTTTTTAAAAAATTTCACCTCACAATTGAATTCTCTGTCAACTTAACTTTTTAAATGCGTAAACATTCGCAGCCGGTGACAGCAAATCCAGCAAACCGAGCATCTCGGAAGGGACACTTGTCGAGGCGGGAGGGGCACGAAACGGGAATCAGAAGGATGCAGATCAAGATACACGGACAATAGCCTCGATATAATCGAGTCTCTACGGCCTGATGTGCGAAAGGACACCCATTGGTGTCGCAGAAACGAGGGATGGTAAACGTCGAGGGCGAAGAGGGCGCGGGAGCAGAGAAAAGGGCAGCGTGTGCAAGCGGAATAAAACTAAAACGAGGAACACGGAGGCCGTTTGGGAGGTGGAGATGCAGGAGGAGGCAGAGGTGGCGGAGGTGGAGGAGGATGTAATCGCTCGGTGGATGAAAGGTTCTCGCGGAGAAAGAGAGATCAGAGGCGAAAAAGAGGCGAAGGCGCGATGGCGCGCGACGGCCTGTGAGAACGATGATTGAAGTGCACGTACTTACGTGCGCGTACTTACTCTGGATGCTGGCGCGGCGTGTGCAGATGCAGAGAAAACGCGGCGGTACGGCCGCATTGTCGTGCCTGTTCCCTCGTGGTCGACACCCACCAATGGCGCCTCGACGTTTTCTCCTCGAAAGCGACGATGAATCGGCTGAACGTGCCTGTGAACCACCTGACACCGCATCCAACCATCCTGCTACAGTGCTAAAACTGTGTCGCTCGTTCACCGGATATCCTCGCGAAATCCTCCTCTTCCGCCCCCCCCCCCCTCTCTTATACACTCTTTGATCCGTGTTTGCGCCAACGGCCTCGGTTTATCTGTCTTTGGAGACGGATCGCGGGGTGGAGACATTGATCGGGAGGAATTGTTCCGAGTATCTGAGCGATGTCTGCTTAACCCTCTTCCGTGTTTCCCGTTCTCGTTGGTATCTTCCAACTGGCTATACTCGTCGGGGTTACTTTTGCACGGATATCGAGTTTCGGGACGGAATTTAGAATTTTACTCGGAAACGGAATTGTCCGGCGAACGTGACAAACACGGGAAAAACGTGACAAGCTCATTTCTGTTGGTTTCTTTTAACCTTTATTAATTAGTTGGAAAGATTGGCGAAGTAATTTGTTAAGTTTAAATACGAGGTTGTACTATGGATTTTTTTGAAAATATATAGATAGAGCGACAAAACACATATTTAGTCACGCTGTTAAACTTTAAAAAACAGTTTTGAGATTGATTGTTAAAATTGCTTGTCATGTTTCTACGCTGTGGTCTTTGTGTTCCTTCTTCCCATTGGTATTTTCAATTGTACAACTTGATCCCGGAATTCTACTTTGAATTTTCTCGATTTTCATCGGAGCACGTAAGAAGAGAATAAAATTACCATGTAATATTTCTCTCTTCTCAACTTGTCAGTGTCCATCCCAGAAACGCACACCTCGTACGTATCTCTGGTTTTCAAGAAATTTTGAATCAATGCATTTCAGAATCTTCAACGAGAACGCCGGAAACGATTAAACGACGGACACACAGGATACAATACGAACCGGGTACAGCCGTGACAGTCTATCGAGCACTTTCCAGTCCGCGACGATTCGATTACATCAGTGTTCTAGTGGGAAATCATCGGTTAACTTTGTCTGGGAGCGACAGTTTCCGCGATATATAATGAAACTGGACGATCTACCGAATTAGAAATTCACGGCCTGTTCGAAGATTCTTCGTCAGCCGTTAGATTATGACTAGTTTGATCATTAAATTTTTGCGATTAATTTCGGACACTTGAAACTGTGGAACTTAAAATCCAAAATTATCTTTTCACCTGTAACTAGAGAATTTAAAATTTCTAAAATCGAACGATTACAATGCAACGATCGTCCATTGGTATTCGAAACTGGAAAATCAAAAATTTGTAAAACTGACGATAAAGAAAAGGAAAGCAATTATCCGAAACTATGAACTTTGAGATTTGTAAAATGAACGACGAGAAACACGCGCGTGAAAGGGGAAGATGATGCGTGAGAGAGGGATGTTGAACGACGTGGACTGCTGTGTTATGGTTCAACGATCATTATTAGCGATTACGAAACGATCGGCTGTACAATAGTCTCGGTGAAACTCGGATCACAAACGTCCGTACAAAATACGGCGCGACAGGCGGCTGTGCTCTGCTTTTCATTTTATTTAATTGACGTCTATAGATTAGGTGGAGAGAGATATACAATGCAAAGGAGAGGATAGACCCGGTTAGATTTCGTAACTCTACCGTTCGTTTAATAAAATTAATCGTTTAAATACTTATCACAACAGGTAGAACGATGTCGTAGGAACCCTGCCTGTGTCTTACGGTGTACCTAACAATTAGTTACAATCTCTTAGTGGTTACATTTACACTTTTCTTTTTTTTCTTTTTCATTTCGCTTTTGCAACGTCCCCGATTAAAAGGAAAATTCGAAAAAAAGGAAAAAAAAAACAAAGGAAAAGGAAGAAGAAGAAGAAGAAAAAGAAGAAGAAGAAGAAGAAGAGAGCTTGTAAGTATTTAAAAAAGAAGGAGTATAAAACGATAGAAAGAAATATGGTGAGCCAAAGAGAGAGAAAGAGAGAGAGAGAGAGAGAGAGAGAGATAGATAGAGAAAGAGAAATATAGAAATAGAGAGGAGGGAAGGACAGAACTGTGCTTGTCCCGCGCTCTTCGACAAAATATTCTTAATAATCGTTCCACGAGCAGTTTCTTATCGACAAGTTGATAGACTAGATACATACTTATATTACAATTGTTCGACTTGCCGGAAGTCGCCAGTCGCGTTGAACCGCGGCGGAGAATCCAACCAGGGCGGCGCCGCGACGATTCTTACCCCCTCGCGTTTCGATGCATTTCGTCGAGCGTTGGAACGGAACGCGGAGCTTGTATACGGACCTGGAGCGTGCAATTGAAAGACGTGGCGCGACGAACGCGGATAAAACGAGATCGTTTTGTTGCTGGAACCGAGACTCGGGAGCCATCGATCGTGCCGGAATCTTTTTTTACCAAGCCAGAGCCGCCGATTCCATCGCGATGTTGAAAAGCTTTCAGATAGCTCGAACAAGCCAGATCACGTTTCGATCGGACCTTTATCCTTTATTTTTTTAAATCATTCGGTTATTTTGTCGGCGAATCTTCTTTTTTCCCGTTTTTCTTTTTTTTTTCTTTCCCAGGTTTAAATTTTGTTGGCGTTAACTCTTTGCGGTAGTACGTTATATCGGTGAAGATTTGAAAGATACTCTCTTGCATAACGGAAAAGCTGCTCTTCGAGAGAGAAGTCTGGCAACCGAGAAATTCAAAGAAATTTGACACTTTGCGCTTTGATATTTTCTCTAGCGAGAAACGAGATGGAAATACTCAAAGAAATTTCCCGGCTAAATATTTACAAAAAATAAAGACGGGATTTCCTATAACTGTCATGATTTCGACGTATACGTCAGAGAATTTTGATTCGACGAAACATGTTTCTGCTTCTCATTCTCGACAGTGAAAGCATAAATTTCTAATGAGCGTGTATCCGACGCTTATAGGAAATCTCGCTTGTGTCCGAAAATTTAGATATAATGTAACTATCTAGATATTTGAATATTTGGATCATCAAATATCTAAATCTTTGGATCCTTTTTCTAGTTACCGAATTTCCATCGTTAGTTAAAATTTCTAGCAGTGTTTTCGTTCTCCAAGAATATGTTTAGGTATTTCAAGATTTTCGTGCTTTTTATCTACATTACGTAAGATGATACGTAACCAATGATCACACATTTCAATTTAAATGGAGAGAAATGAAAATGGCAACAGAGTGAAAATAAATGACAGAAGACTTCCCTTCGGTAATGAGAACGTTACATGGAATATTTTAACTACCTAGTAAGCAATATAGATCTGTAAACAGTTAACAATAAATAAAACTATTACAATTTCAAAAACATACCGCCAACAGCCACACAATTTGTGAAAAAGAAAAGGAGTCTTCGATAAAACGTCGGACCGCAAAGAGTTTTAACAAACTTTCGTAAATCGGTTCTCTATACGGCGAAGTTAATCCGAAAATAGGGAGAAGCGAAACGTCGTAAAGAAGAGGCTACCTGGCTGATTGTGAGGGAAGCAAGCAGGCAGGCAGGCAGGAAGGCAGGCAGGCAGGCAGGCGGGCAGACAGGCAGGCACGATCGACGATTCAAGATGATCGAAACGACGACAGAAGAGAAACGGTTTATCCGGACAAGGCGATCGAGGCGAGTCGCGAGAGTGAGATCGCGGCGTCGGCGGTGGTTGGTTGTAGCGGGCCGACGGTCTCGTGAGCCGGACGGTGTTATTGCGAGGAGGATTGGGGTGGTTGGCCGTTAGGCGGGGGCGGCGGGGGCGGCGGCGGTTGTGGGTGTACCTGGTGGGGTAGGAGAGTGTGCGCCTGCACGTGAGCCGGATGATGATGGTGGTGCTGATGGTGATGGGAGTAGAAGATCGGCTGGGCGGTGGTAGGGGGGCAGGAGGTGCCGACGCCGACACCGACGCCGACTCCGACGCCGACCGAGTGCGAGAGCGCCGAAGTGGCGACCGACGCTGGCGCAGCGGCCGCCGACGGCGCAGCCACCGACACCGAGACACTGCCGGACGTTCCGGTTCCAGCGGACGCCTCGTGATACAGTATCGGCACCCTGACCAGCCTCTGTGCCGCGTGCGCCATGTTTGCCGCCTCGAGTTCCGCGGCGAGCTGCCTCTTCCACTTGTTACGACGGTTCTGGAACCAGATCTTCACCTGAGTCTCGGTCAGCCGCAACGACGCGGCGAGACCGGCGCGTTCGGACGACGAAAGGTAGCGTTTCATGTCGAACGTGCTCTCCAATTGGAACACCTGCGACCGCGAGAACACTGTCCGCGTCTTCTTCTTCCGTTTCATGCTACTCGAGTCGCGACCGTCCACGCCAACTTGCACGCTGTTTTGTCCGCCGCCGCCACCGCCTCCACCGCCGCCGCTGCCGCCATTCCCTGTGCCACCGCCGCTACCACCGTGAAGGCTCGTCGAATTCGTGGATTCCCCTTCGCCGTCCGCATCCGGGCAGTCGTCTTGCTCGCCTAGGTCGTCGTGTCCTTCGTCGCCGGTTGACGGGCTCCGTGTCCGATGCAGCCGCTCCTCCCCGTTCTCATCGTCCAAATCGTCTGTAACAAAGCACCGTTTCTTCAGAGTTGTTAAGCTTCCTTCAGGCTAACAAATGACAATAGTGGAATGTTTGAGGCAGCAATGACCAACCAGATTGTTGACTCTCCCATTCTCGCGTCGCTTCCATCTATTCTATATTAAGTTTAGTCTCAACGCTTCGAAAATTCCGAAGCGATCGAATAAAGAGACAAATCTGGCAGATCTGATTGTACAACGTACTGAATTTCAGAACTGCTTCTCTACAAAGAACAAGAAACGTATCTTATCCTGTTTCTCCCCTGTCGTTACGTTTATCGGAAAAACCGGAACGAATTGTACTTTACAAGAAGGAGGGGATTCATCGCGAACCAACTAGAAAATAAAAACAGTGTAGAATGTTCAATTTGTATCAAATGTCTGCAGTTATCCTTAATGCTTATAGTCGGCTCGCGATAATAAGCAAAGAGAATGCACGCCAAAGTTCCAAAGTTACCGAGCAAGTTTGGAAACGTTGTTGCGGAGAATCGATTTCGCCGCAAAGGAGAAGCTATAAAAGCGGACGCTTGAGTCAGAATGGAGGATAAGATAATGCGTTAATTTTTGGTATCCGTGGACGAGGCTGCACGCATCGATACCGATTAACGCCTCGATTTTCCACGCACGTGGAAATGGAAATATATGCTTCAAGTGTTGTGGCGATGATCGGTAGTTCGTTATCATCGTGGTGAATGCAGAGGGGCTAAATAGGTACTATCGCCAAAGACTGTTGTTATAAACTGTCGCGCGCTTCCGCTGGAAGCTATAGAACGATTCTGCTCGCGACTTTCGCGCTAAAAATCAATTTTTATTGTATATCATTACAATTAAATTTATTCACTCTACTGTTATTTACAGCGAAAGTTTTTGTAAAGTTGATTATTAAAGTGAAACGTTACGAAATCTCGCTTGCAAAGTTATGTATACGACATACGTTATTACAAATTTTTATTTATAAAACCTGATGAATTTTTCCTCCGCCTTCGTGTATAAATATAAAAATTTTGCACGAAGACTTTTGTAAGCGATTGTATTTTAGTAAAAGACAACGGCATTTTTGCCAGAAGTGCTCCCGCGATTTCGGTAATGTTAAAAATAAAATTTAGTAGCTACGGTGTTAAATTAGACTGACCGCTGGACTGCTTGGGAAATTTAAATGCGCAAAAATATGCGCGACGCGCGCAACACGCAAAAAAAAAAAAAAAAAAATAAAA